TTATTTCGGAACCCCCTTCCCCTCCCCCTTTTCTGATGAAGGGTCTAGGCCTGAAACGTCAGCCTCTCTGCTCCTGTGATGCTGCTTGGCCTGCTGTGTTCATCCAGCCCTGCACCTTGTTGTCTTGTGTACGATAACCAGCCAGCTCGGCGAACAAGCCAACAGCCCTATGCCAGTGACATCATGTTAGCATAACATTAAATTTTTAATCTAGGAGAACACAGCAACAATTATAACCAGTGCACAAACATTTTTAGCAGGACAGTCCAGGTTTCAACGGAAAGAAGGCTAATTTACACTGACTGCACAGGGACCCAGAATTTTACTGTCACTGGAAGTGTTGATTTGAAATTTGACTAATCATAGTCTGATCACAAGAGCACGTGTAATCGTTGTTGTGTGTTTTCCTGGACTTTACAACCAGTTTAAAATTTAACATTGGTAATCCTTGACGTTTGGATAGTTGTTTGGGCAGGCCAGACACAGTTGTTTGTACCGTATTGATCAAGTGCAATTCTTGCCTTTTGTCCTCCAACTATTGATTGCATTACCCGTAAATGCAGCTTCTTGGATAACAGTCCGACTCCCTTCTGTAAAGCTCAATTGAACCTGCCTTCACCACAATCTCTGGCTGTACATTCTCGATCTTACCAAAAAAGGCACTATATCAATTGCAAGTCATTCTTTGCGTGGAAAGGAAGAAATGCTAGGTTTCTGCTTCTCAGCTTGCCCTTTTGACCCAGGTTACTGAAACTCACTATCTTAGCATTTGACCATGCAAAAGAATATATTGTTACGTGAACACTGTTCACTGGGCAACATGCCTTTATCACTTTGGAGGGTGCCTATTTAAAACTAAGAAAGGAGGAGAGCAGTTTTATAATTACTGCTTAAAATCAGGAATCCCCTACTCTCACTCCCCAGTTTCATGTTTCACTCCTATCTAGGAAGAAGGTGAACAAAGTGAAGGGGGCAGCACGGTGGCTCAGTGGTTAGCACCGCTGTCTCACGGCACCAGGGATCCGGGTTCGACTCTGCCCTCCGTCAACTGTCTATGTGGAGTCTGCCCGTTCTTCCTGTGTCTGCATGGGTTTCCTCCAGATGCTGTGTTTCCTCCCACAGTCCAAAGATATGCAGGTTAGGACTGACTGTGCTAAACTTGCCCATAGTGTCCAGGGATGTGCAGACTAGGTGGATTAGCCACATGAAATGCAGGATTACAGGGATAGAGTAGTGGGTGACAGTCTGGGTGGGGTGCTTTTCGGAGGGTCAGTGTGGACTCAAATGGACTGAATGGCCTGCTTCCACACTGTATGGATTCTATGAAGAAGAGATCATTCAGCGCCAGCAGGCCGGTTCCACAGTTCAGTTAGATCATGACTGCTGTCATATCAACCCATCTTGGTTGTGGATTCCCCCAGCAAACACTTGTCAAATCTCAAGTCTTGAAATTTGCAGTTTCAAGCCTCAACAATTTTTCTGGTGAGAAAGTGAGTTCCAGATTCCCACTTCCCTTTGCATGAGGAAATGCTTCCTGACCTCTTGTTTTGGAATCCCTTTCCACTCTCACCCCTGCCAAGAGAAAATAGTTTCTCACTGTCGACCCGAACGAATCCAGTATTCAAACTGAATAAGCTTCTATACTTAAAGGAATATAGGCCTAACATAAACACCTTCTCCTGTTAATTTAGCCCTTTTTGTTTTAGTTGCAAAGGGATTTTCACTTTAGGGAATGACCGTATTAAATTGATGCACACCAAATTAAAAGTAAAATTAAACACAGAGAAAGATGACATTCCCTTTGAAAGCAAAAAGCCCCCTACCCCCACTTAGAACTACATGGAAGGCATGATCTTACTTGGGAAATTCCTCATCCTGCCACTCTTCCCGGAGTTCCATATCCTCGATCCTAACACCTGGAGAGCTCGGGTTCTCCAACTGTTCCTTCGGTAGGCTGAAATAGTAAAGTTTGTAGTGAGCCAATGGTTTGCCAACTCTTGGGATGGAGGAGGTCAATGAAAGCCGAGACTTCCCAAAGTGGGGGTGCAAGATGACCTTACAGAAGTTCATTAAATCCCGAGGAGCATAGATAAGGTGAATGGCAGATGTCTTTTCCGGAAGGTGAGTGATTTCAAGTCTAGGGAGCGTGTTTTTAAGGTGAGAGGAGAAAGATTTAAAAAAAAAAGACACAAGGGGCAATTTGTTTTACACAGATAGTGGTTCGTGTGTGGAATGAACTTCTAGAGGAAGGGGTGGATATGGCTACAGTTACAACATTTAGAAGACAGTTGGATAAGTACATGAATAAGAAATGTTTGGAGGGATGTGGGCCAGGTGCAGGCAGGTGGGACTGGTTTAGTTTGGGATCATGTTCAGCATGGACTGGTTGGACTGAAGGGGGTCTGTTTCCATGCAGTATGACTCTATAAGAGTTGGATGGTGTGTGCGTGTGTGTGATGGTCAGGGGGTGTAAGGACCGCGAGCTGAAACATCTTTGGATCACCAGTTCCGAGGCCACCACAGGTCTCCAATCAAGTTACAACAGCCACTACTACTGCTCCAATGGGTGCTGACTCTCATGGCGAGCCATCCCTCCCAGATTTCCAACCCACACCCAACAGCTGTACCCCCACTGCCGTTCCCCCACACCTCCAACCTTTCACAGGTCTCTCCTCATTGACACCCCCAGACCCATCCAAGCCATCATGGATCTCAGAGAGAGGCTGCAATAATTATGAAGTCTTGGGTAAGACAAAGAAAAAAGTTTGAGAAGCGCTGTGTCAGTGACTCCAATTATCAACATTGTTCCCCCCAACCACTCGATTGTGAATTGTTCCAAATGGCACCAGAGTTACAAGACTGTGTGTTTGCATAGAGCGTGTTTGTCAGGTTGTGGCACAACAACAAACCCAAGTCAGAAGGTTGTGGGTTTGACTTCTCCACGCTGGAGAGTTGAACCAAAATCCCAGGCTCATGCTGCTGACGCAGTACTGGTGGAGTGCTGCACTGCCGGTGGGTCAGCGCAAAGGGTGGGAGGTGACCTTATAGAGGGCAAGTGCCATTTTCCTAGGGTGGGGGATTTCAAGACGAGGGGACATTTATTTAAGGTGTGGGAAGAAAGAAAGATTTAAAAAAGACGTGAAGGGCAATTTTTTTTTTGTTTGTTTTTTTACACACAGTGGTTCATGTGTGAAATGAACTTCCAGAGGAAGTGGTGGTTGCAGATGCAGTTCAAACATTTAAAAGACATATGGATAAGTACATGAATAAGAAATGTTTGGAGGGATATGGGCCAAGTCCAGGCAGGTGGGACTAGTTTAGTTTGGGATCACAATCGGTATGGATGGATCTGTTTCTGTGCTGTATGACTCCACTCTATGAAGGATGGCGTACTGGTGAGTAGGAGAGAGAAAACTGAGAGGGGCTGACCTGATCAAAGTCATTAAAATTCTGCAATGGTTCCATAGATCTAGATATGTTTTCACTTTTTTTTATTGTAGGGGATGAAAGAAGGGAGGGTGGTTAACAGACACCAAAATTATTAAGACTATCACAAATAAATTCAATCATGAACTCAGGAAAAATATCTCACCCAGAGTTCACAAATTATGTAGAACCTGCTCCTAAGGGAGTGGTTGCAGCAAACAGCAGAGATGCATTGAATGGGGAAGCTCGATAAGCATGAGGTAGGAAAGAAATAGAAGGATAGGATGGCATTGTAGAGGGATGACAAGGTATAGGAAACATTATCATGGGACTGAATCCTTTTTAGTGCTATTTCTCCTATATAGCATGAGCACCAATAGACAAGAGACTCCTGACAACGCAGCTATACCAGTGTGTGCGTAGCAAATGCTGGATAGTTAAAAAAAAATTATCTTACGCTCTTAAACAAACACACAGGCCCAAGCTTGTTTACAATGTGGAACAATTAAACTAAAAGCAAGCTTTGAGCGAGAGAGAAAGAGATTTTCCAGTCTACTGCCTCAGTGCTGATGGAGTACTTCAATTACTTAGCATGTGCAACAAGGCAGGGAGATTACAGAAACAATAAGTGCTGGAGCTTAGGAGTGAGCTGGGTTATAAAGCCATGTGTGTTAATTTAAGAAAATTAAAAATCAGTCATTGTGGTCAGGTGTTATTCCTGCCAAACTCGTTTGTCTATCTTTGAAGAGGAATACATTTTTAAAGCCCCCCACAAATCTACAACATCTACCATTTGGAAGAACAAGGGCAGCAAATACATGGGAACATCACCACAAGCAAGTTCCCCTCATCCTGACTTGGAACTAGTTTGGCCACTCCTTCAGTGCCACTGCATCAATATTCTAGTACTCTGTCCCCAGTAGTGGATGATACCTGCATCATACAAGAAGGCACCTCCTTCTCAAGGGCTAATAAATACTGGCCTGACCAGCGATGTCCCACGAACAAAATTTTTCAAAAAGATGTAACTCAGACCCTCCTTGTAAATCAAGGGGTTAAAATGTCTGGGTTCCTTCTATATTCTCCCCAGTGTCTGGGTGAAAAAATTTCTCCTGAATTCCCAATTGCGTTTATGTGTGAAGGTCTTATATTGAAGGCCCTCCCATCATAGTTCTCCTGCTACTCTAGTCTTCATCCAAAAGCGCCATGGGATCCTCTCTCATCACCCGAAAGGCCATTCTGTGGCCGTCTTATTCGGGAAACAACACATCTGACAGTGCTCGCTCATTATTATGTTCAGGTCATCTGAAAGCTATTTCTAAATGAAAGTAGAGCAGAGGTTAAGTTCTAGGCAAATCAGGCAGAGTCAATATGATTTTGTGAAAGATAAATCATATTTGACTAAGCTACTGGAGTTCTTTGTGTTGTGGATAAAGAGAAACTGGTCGACATACCGTATTTTGATTTCCAGAAGGTATCAGGGAAAATAAAAGCCCATGGTATGAGGGGTAGTAAATTGGCCAGCTAACAGGAAGCAGAGAGTAGTCATAAATGGTTTTCTTTTCTGTTTGGTGAATCACAGAAAACTAGTATGCAAGTATGAATCACAAGAGAACTAGTACAGTTAGTAACAAAGAAAGCAAATGGAATCTTGGCATAGATTGCTAAAGAAATAGAGTATAAAAGTAAGAGGTGTTGCTGCAACTGTATAAGACATTAATGAGATCACACATGGAATATTGCTTACAATTTTGGTCCGTTACTTGAGGGGGGATGCAGTTGTATTGGAGGCAATTCAGAGGTTCACTAGATTGATTCCAGAGATGAGGGGTTTGTCTTATGAAGAGAGATTGAGCATTTTAGGTCTATACTATCTGAAGTTTAGAAGAATGAAAGGAGATCTAATTGAGGTATACAAAGATGCTAAAGGGACGTAGATGCAAAGTACACGTAGAAGCAAAGTATACGTAGAAATGTTGTTTCTTGATGTGAGAATGAGAGGTCGTAGTTTAAGGATAAGGGGTAGCAGATTTAAAACAGAGATGAGGAGAAATTACTTCTCTCAAAGGGTCGTGAATCCGTGGAATTTACCAACCCAGAGTACAGTGGATGTTGGACAGTGAATAAATTTAAGAAGGAGATAGACAGATTTTTTAATTAGAAATGGGTTGACGGGTTATGGAGAGCGGGCTGAAACGAGATTAGGCATGTTCATATCAAATTGCAGAGTAGGCTCAAGGGGCTGAATTGCCTACTACCGTTCTTAGTTCTTATGGTGAGCTGTAATGACCAGCACGGCTCCACAAATTAAATGGAGTTTATCTAAGGTACCTGGTTTGGGACTGTACTGGTCTCTGGGTTAGCCACAAAGAAAGATTGAAGGTTTATACAGGACCTTTCTTGACCCCAAAGCGTTTAACAAGAAGGTATCTCGGAAGTACAGTGTTGAAAACCAGGCAGGCACAGAAAGATCCCACAAAGACTTGTGGTAGCGACCCAGATTGCCTGCTTTTTATGTATTGCTCCAAAGACAAATATCGGCCCCACTGCACCAGGGAGAAGTCAGCTGCTCCTCTTCAGAATCGTGTCACGGGATCTTTGATGCTCACCTGAGAGAGTGGGGCATGGGCCTTGGTTTGACATCTCAGTCAAAAAACGCACCTCCAACAATGCAGCACTCCCTCTGGTGTTAGCACTGGGTATGTTGGCCTGAATGGAGGCTTGGTTCTACAAAGCGGGTCCTTGAACCCCAGAGTGACAACGGAGACACGGCTGACGGACAGTAGGTCAGACTATGAGAAACAAGTTCCCTAAATGGTAGAGAGCTCAGGGGTGGGGCAAGGCTGGGGTGAGGGAGGGGGAAGCTCTGACCGTGTAATTCTTTGTGTTATTTTCTTTAGAAAGGATTCTCTGCTGAAGGGCATGGGGTTTCTTGTCCTCAGCAGAACATGTTTTTGCACGTTGCTAGATCTCAGTATGCTCCTGTGGCGGTGACTCAGGAATATCTGCAATGAAACACAGTCAGTCGGGTTTGTCTGATTGATGTTTTCAGTAATGCAGTGTCGGGACTGAGAGAGAGAGAGAGAAGAGGAAAGTATTTGGAAAGTAAGAATGTTACTAAAGAGGAAAGGGATCAGGGAGCTTAGTTTAAAACCTTTGAAAACTGCTTGAAATGTCAAAACATTCAGGGCTATAGACCAAGTGTTGGAAAGTGGAACAACGGTAGATTTAGAGCGTTTTTTTGACAGATGGGCTGAAGGGTCTCTACTTTGTGATGCTATGAAATGCTAAACAGGAACCAACAAAATTGATTAAATGCAGCACCATTTAAAATTTACAATATACTGTTCCTTTATATTTTAATAAAAACCACAAGTAACTTGATGCCTTGAATACAATGCCCTGAATGCATCAGAAGAAAAACTGGTCCATCAAAAAACTTAGGACTAAAGCTGCTGTACACCCAGTCGCTTCAGTTTTCAAATGGCACTTACCCCAAGCTTGGCAATTAACTTATTGTCTGACCCA